GGGTCGGTCGGCGCCCCCCCGCCCCTGTGTGCGTCTGGGGGGGCTGCGGGGGGGGGGGTGGTCCTTGGTTCCATCTGCTGAAGGAACTGTGGGTCATTCTCCTGTCTTGTCCTGCCCGAGAACCCGCTGAGCCCATGGGGGACTTCAAGGTCTCCCCCCAGGCCTGTTGGAAGGGCTGAGCGTGGTGTGAGCATCTTGTAGATCACAAAGGGGTACGACATGGCTGTGCTGTTCCCCCCACCCCAGTCCGGCAGGAGCTGTCTGTCTGAGGCCAGGACCGACACTGCCGGCCCCGGTGAAGGATTCTGCGGGGCCTCCCTCCCCTGGGCCTGGCTTCCCTGCCTCTGGCTGTGGCTGGTGGCCCCGCCGAGCTCGGGGTTGTGAGAACCCTCCCGGCCCAGACTCCTGTCACCTCATGGTCAATGTGCAGCTTGTGGTCTTTCCAGGCCTGCAGGGACTTGTACAGGTCCAGGTCGCACTGGACCGTGTCGTTCTCCAGGATGTAGCACCTGTTCGAGAGAAGGGGTCACGTGGGGCCCTCGGGGCGTTGAGGGGGCCCAGGCAGGGGCCCGAGAGATGTGGGCACCCCTGCCAAGGTCCAGCCCGCCCCCCCAACCCCCACCCTAGACTCTCACCGATGTGTGACTTTAATGGGGTTGGGGGCTGAGTAGTCCGGAAGGCCCCCGGTGCCACTGAAGTCCCCGCCGTCCCTGTCGTCTTGGTCCGCAGGGGCGCCTGGCCAGTGCCGCTTGGTGAGGTTGCGGGGCTGGGACCAGTCGTCCAGGCCGATGTGGTGCCCCTCGACGGCCACTGAGCGGATGGAGCGATTCCGGGCATAGCTGGCCTTGTACTCTGTGGGGTCAGAGGGGTGGCTGGGCTGGGAGGCTGGCCAGGCTGGCCAGGCTCCCTGGGCAGCAGACTCTTGATCCAGACAGGGCTGTGCTCCCAAGCCAGGGCCTCAGTGCTGCCCGAGACTGGGGGGCTCAGGAAACCTACCTACCGGGAAAGTGGGCCCTGGACCCCAGTGGAAAGGACCTCAAGGTGATTCACTTGGGGAAACTGAAGTCCCAGAGCTAAGAAGGAATTGGCCTGAGATAATCTCAAGGAGGAGCTGTGCATAGAGAAACTGGGACATCCACACGATGGAGGATTCGAACACAGAGAACTGAAGCAACAATGCCGAGGAATGTCAACAACACTAATGTGTGAAGGAAGTGAGATACAGAAGTCACACTATGTGTGATTCTATTTACATGATCTCCAGGGTGGGTGAAGACGCAGAGCCAGAAAGCAGATTAGCGATTGCCGTGGGATGGGGGAGAGGGCAATGGATTTCCTTTTGGGGTGATGAAGATGTTTTAGAACTAGACAGAGGGGATGGTTGCAGTACGTTGTAAATGGACTAAATGCTTCTGAATTGTATATTTATAAAATTGTAAAAACGGTAATTTTGTTATGTGACATTCATGTCAATTAAAAAAAAAAAAGGGAAAAATGTGGATATAATTAAGGAGATTGAATCAGTAATCAGAAACCTTCCAACAAACAAAAAGTCTAGGACCAGACAGCTTCACTGGTGAATTCCACCAAACATTTAAAGAAGAATGAATACCAGTCCTTCTCCAATGCTTCCAAAAATAGAAAAGGAGGGAACACTTCCAAACTCATTTTTACGAGGCCAGTATTACTCTGATACCAAAACCAGACAAGGATGCCACAAGAAAAGTACAGGCTAGTAACTCTGATGAACATAGATGCAAAAATCCTCAACAAAATATTGGCAAACCAAATAGAACAATACATTGAAAGGATCATATACCATGATCAAGTGGGATTTATTCCAGGCATGCAAGGATGGTTTACCATCTGCAAATCAATGTGATACACCACATTAACAAATGAAGGATAAAAATCATATGGTCACCTCAATATATGCAGAAAAGGCATTTTACGAAATTCAACATCCATTTATGATAAAAACTGATAAGCCATTAATATCCAAAATATAAAGACTCATATAATTCAATAGCAAAACCCCTAAACAATCAATTGAAAAACAGGCAGAGGATCAGAATAGACATTTTTCCAAAGAAGATATACAGATGGCCAACAGGTACATGAAAAGATGTTCGACATCACTAATCATCAGGGAAATGCGAATCAAAACCACAGTGAGATACCACCTCACACCCGTCAGAATGGCTATTATCAAAAAAAACCGAAATAGCAAACGTTGGCGAGGATGTGGAGAAAAGGGAGCAATTGTGCACTGTTGGTGGGAATGTAAATTGTTGCAGCCACTTTGGAAGACAGTATGGAAGTTCCTCAAAAAATTAAAGATAGAACACCCAAATGATCCAGCAATTCCACTTCTGGATATTTATCTGAAGAAAACAAAAACACTAACTCAAAGACATCTGTACCCCCATGATCACTGCGTTATTTACAATAGCCAAGATACGGAAATAACCTAAGTGTCCACTGATGGATGAATGGATACAGAAGATGTGGCACGTGTACACACACACACACACACACACACACACACACTGGAATATTACTCAGCCATCAAATAGAAGGAAATCGCGCTGTTTGCGACAACAGAGGTGGACCTTGAGGGGATTATGCTAAGCAAAATAAGTCAGAGAACGACAAATAGCATTTGATCTCACTTATCTGTGGAGTCGCTACAACCAACCAACCAACCAAGCTCATAGAGAACAGATCAGTGGTTGCCAAATGGGGGGGTGGGGGGTAGGAATGGTGGGTGAAATGGGCAAAGGGGGTCAAAAGGTACAAACTTCCAGTTACAGAGTCAGTCAGTCCTGGGGATGTAATGTACAGCATGGTAGCTATAGTTAACAATAATACTGTGTTGCACATTTGAAAGTTACTGAGAGAATAGGTCTTAATAGTTCTCATCACCAGAAAAAAATTTTTTGTAACTATGTTAAGTGGACTTGTTGGCGTGATCATTTTGCAATATATACAGATATCGAATCACAATGTTGTACACCTGAAACTAATGTAATATGTTAATTATACTGCAGTAAAACTCCACAAAACAAGATCAAAAACCCCATTAATTTGAACTGGGTAAAGAAGAGCCAAGCAGCACATTCTCCCAGACAGAAAAGCGTGGCGGGGGGGGGCTTGGGGAGGTCACTGATCTTCTCCGAGTCTATTTCCCCAGCAGTGAGCTGCATGCTCTCCACAGGGTGGGCAGTGGGGCGGGGCTGAGAGGTGTTTTTTCCTAAGCTCTGAGTCACCTATGGAAAACTGAGGGCGTGCAGGTGCTGAGGCTCAGAGCAGGCCACCCCAAGATGCCACAATGGCATATTGACTATTCTGAATTAAAGTTCTTTGAAACACAGCTGGTGGGGAAAAAAAATGATATTAAAAAACACTCTGACTCCACCTCTTTCCCCCGAATGCCGGAACCTCTCCTAGGCCTGCAAATGACCAGGAGGAGGCTCAGCTGGAGGCTGATAGTCAAGATTTGACAGGAGCGATATTTGAGGCCTTTCCCCCTAAAGTTAATTAGTTTAAGGTTGAATTCTGTACTCGGGAGGAAAGCATCCCAAAGCCTTTTTGAACATTTCATGCAAACTTTTCGAAGGCACGCTGCCTTTAACTTGGAAGCCCCAGTGCACAGGAATCTCTTCATATCTGCTCTAATGGGAAACTGTTCCCTGATATCAGAAAGCAAATTCACAATAGTGTGGTAGGTTGGTCTAGGCTACTGCTAAGTGTAATAATGGAGGCTGGAGCTCCATTCTTTGAAAATAGTTTCCAGGAATGCAGAAAAAAAGAATTAAAAGCAACAATTCTTGCTTTGCAATTTGAACCTTTAGGAAAACAAAAGCATCACACCTACGGTCAATGAATCTTCGACAAAGGAGGCAAAATATGCAATGGAGAAAAGACAGTCTCTTTAGCAAGTGGTGTTGGGAAAGCTGGACGGCTGCTTGTAAATCAGCACCCTCTCACCATACACAAAAATAAATTCTAAATGGCTTAATTAAGACTTAAATAAATATAAGACATGATACCATAAAACTCCTAGAAGAGAACACAGGCAGAACATTCTCTGACAAGTCGTACCAAGGTTGTCTTAGGTCAGTCTCCCAAGGCAATAGAAATGAAAGCAAAAATAAATGGGACCTAATCAAACGTGTAAGCTTTTGCACAGCAAAGGAAACCGTAAACAAAACAAAGACAACCTAGGGACTGGGAGAGAATATTTGCAAACGATGCAACTGACAAGGGGTTAATTTCCAAAACATACAAACAGCTCATACAACTCAGTAACAAAAAACCAAACAACCCGATGGAAAAATGGGCAGAAGACCTAAATAGACATTTCTCCAAAGAAAACATACAGACGGCCAGTAGGCACATGAAAAGATGCTCATCATCACTAATCAGAGAAATGCAAATCAAAACTACAATGAGGTATCACCTCACACCGGTCAGAATGGCCATCATCAAAAAGTCTTCAAATAACAGATGCTGGAGAGGGTGTGGAGAAAAGGGAGCCCTCCTACACCGTTGGTGGGAATGTAAATTGGCGCAGCCACTACGGGAGACATTATGGAGGTTCCTTAAAAAACTAAAAATAGAGTTGCCATATGATTCAGTAATCTCACTCCTGGGCATATACCCAGACAAAACTATAATTCAAGGAGATACATGCACACCTATATTCATAGCAGCACTATTTACAATAGCCAAGACATGGAAGCAACATAAATGTCCACTGGCAGAGGAATGGATAAAGAAGATGTGGTATATATATATATACAATGGAATAATACCCATAAAAAGAATGAAATAATGCCATTTGCAGCAACATGGATGGACCTAGAGATTATCATACTAAGTGAAGTAAGTCAGACAAAGACAAATACCACATGATATCACTTATATGTGGAATCTAAAATATGACACCAATGAACTTATTTACAAAGCAGACTCACAGACATAGAAAACAAACTTATGGTTACCAAAGGGGAAAGGGGGTGAGGGAGGGATAAATTAGGAGTTTGGGATTAGCGGATAACACACTACTATATATAAAACAGATAAATAACAAGGTCTTACTATATAGCACAGGGAACTAAATAGAATATATGTATAAAACTGAATCACTATGCTGTACACCAGACGCTAGCACAACATTGTAAATTATACTTCAATAAAAAAAAGAATAGAAAACAGAAGCATGACTCTGAGAGTAACTCCAGGCTCACACAGAGCTCTTCCTGTTTGCCTCCAGACAACTGCAGATAGTATAAGAAATCAGGACAATGGAAGAGAAATTTGTCCTACAACTCAAGAGAAAGGAAAGTTGAAGAAACAATCCCCCTAGGCCCCAGCGTGCCCAGAAAGCTATTTCTTCTCCTTCTGAGGGACAATTCCTTCTCAAATGACGGGGTCAGCCAATCCTCAGTTGCACCCCAGAGGCTACTTAAAATAGACGATCGGGAACTGGATTTCTTAATTGACACCCGTGTGCCTTTCTCTACCGTCGCTCAGAGGATTTATCTCAACCTGTCACTGCTGGTTCTATACAAGCAGTCAGTCTCTGGACAACCTACTACATTACCCACATCTCAGCCCACCCTAATATCTTTTAGGGCCTCTTAACACCCATCATATCTAATTTCCAGCTGCTCACCAGCAAACCTTCTTGATAGAGATTTGTTACGTAAATGTAATGCTACTCTAAAGTGTAATCAGAAGGGCGTTTTTATTTCCTTGCCCTCAGACCAAGCCCCAAATCTACTTTCCTTATTAGAAACTTGTCCTGATTTAAATTCCTCTGAAGAGGGTGAGTCTTTAACAGATGT